ATGCTTCGGTAAAATTGTTCTGTATTATCTTTAGCAATTGAGATATAAACTCCAATTATTATACTAAAAAGAAATTTGATCGATACGGCGAAAAGGTGTAAGCGAAAATTTAATGTAATACAAAGTGACAAGTTAACAAATGTTTTGCATGTTGGAAAGGAATTCTGGGAGTCCTTCGCGTCATCGAAACTTTTGCAATCTTCACAATTCCAGGTTGGTTAGTGATCCAACCTGAATGTAAAATAAATCCCATGGAGGAAAATTCGTTCGCTTGAATTCCGCGCGAAATTTTTAAAATCTCAAATCCGAAATAATCCGTCCATTTCTCGCGAATTCGGCCAAAATATGTATTCGATCGCCAACGGTGGTAATCCACCCGCCCGTCCGTTCTCACGATACCTATTTTTCGCCGATAACGAGAATCGCCGGGCCGCGTTTCACGATTATTAAACACATCCCGTAACCGAATCGCGATGAATCGATGTTCGAGAATCGGGCGTGTTTCGCGGCGAATCGAATCCACAGGGAAACAGAAACACGGTAATCGCGAAAACTTTTTATCGACTCCGCCTTTCTCGGTATCGTCGACGACTCGTCGGCGATTCAGGCATTTTACAAGCTTCGCGTCTGCATGTTTGCCCGATGAAATCCCCCCCCCCCCCCCCGCAGGAAATAGAAATCAAATATGAGTCGTTATCTACGGTGAAACGGTAACACGGGGAACGCGCGTTGGATGCGAGATTTCCGGCTGTACAATATAATTCGATTCGCGTTCGCGATTAAATCCCCTTCGATCGGCAAGAGCTTGTCTTTCCTTTTTTCTCGGTGAGTTAGCGCGATGCACCGCTGCACGCTCTGCCAGATGAACTGATATTAATTCAGTGACCGGAATAGACGCAGGGAGCAGCAAGCCTCCCGGTTAGTCACCGGCCAAACCACTTTATTTCCACTTTATTACGTGAAAAATCTACGACGCGTTCACCTCGTAGCCGAACGACGGATTGAACGGTTCCTCTCGAACCGATTTGACTTAACGAGCAAAAAAGTAGCTCGCGCTCTGCGCCCGTTAATTCCACTTCTATGCGATATCTCTTCTCTCCCGCGCCATTCAACCCACGCTTTTTTCCATCAGATTTCCCTCCCTAATACGGAGAAACACGAGAATGAAATTCTTCTTTCTTTTCTCTGCTCGCGAACACACGAGACGCAACTCGATGGATTCCATTCGACTTCCCAATCTTTCGTCCGCTGATTTTTCAACCAGCGCGCGAAACAAATTGCATACGGTTCTGATACAGTATTGGAATCCCGTTTTGTTTCGCCGTTGGTTATCCGCCGCAGCATGCAAAAAGATTCATTCGTGGGAAATTTTTTTTTTGAGGGAAGAAACTTCGAACGGGAAGAGGTTTAAATGATGTTTAAATATTGCCTCCGATGCAATTCGCAATAAATTTTCTTTCTTTTTTTTTTTTTTGGAAAAGAAGGCTCCCAATGACGAAACGTTGTTCCTTCTTTGTGTAAATATCTAGCAATTGATTGTTTGCAAAGGAAACAGAGAAGGGTGAAATATTTCCACTAATAATTGGATTCTAATAAAAACTCACGAAAATAGAAACTAAAAGGAGACACTGCAGATTAAGCGAGACTGTTTTACTGATTTATCGAAGAATAATTAATTCTTCTATGAAATCGAATTGTTAATAAAATTAAAAATGAATTGATCCTGGTTATTAGATTACGGATTTTTAGGTATTCATATGAAATTTAAATACGAAGAAATGCATAGCGTCTATGTAGCGGATAAAAATAAATCAAATATCAAAAATGTAACTTTGGTTATGTTAAAAGAAAGATTCCATTTCTTTAGTTATATTAAAAAAAAAAAAAAAAGAAAAATAATAGAAACTTGCGTAAACATCCGTAGTCAAGTGATTATTGACATGTTGAACATAAAATGAACGCACCAAGAACACGGTTCTAACCAAATTAAGAAACGATCGAGATTCCAAAAGTTTAGTTAAGAATGGCGAGATGTTCGTTGAAAAGTTGAAGTAGGAAGCGTATGTTCACGGAGAAATATATTATATAACCGGCGCGTACCAGGGAACTCTCTTTTTCTTCGCTCTCTCTCTCTCTCTCTCTCTCTCTCTCTCTCCCTCGCTCAATTCGCGATCGCATTACACAGATCTGGAACTTTTCCAACGGAGCAAGTTCGTGATTTTTAGACTGAAAATTGAGGCGAAAAGTGTATGCAAAGTGTGTCTGAATTTTTCTCAGATTCCACCGTCCGCTTTCAGATCCGACGATACGATCTTCCGGTTATAAGCCCCGAGTCGATCTATCTTTTCACTTAGAGGGAACACGCTGAATTAACGGGCTCGCTTATTTATTCCGAAAGGTCACGTCTATTTCCCTCTTGATGCTCGAACCCGAGGAGGGTGAAACGAACGAAATCGCGCGATGAAATAACATTGATCAATCTCGCGCTCACGTGAAAGTGAGATACTCGGCATGAGAATCGAACTGCAAATCAATTCAGGAGAAAACAGCGATCGATCCTCGAACTTGAGATATCCATTCGCGATAATTAAAACGTCGACGATCATCAGACTCCGGATTTTTACGCATTTTTACAGAAAAGGGAATGCAGAAAAATATTATAATATTTAACAGGCGAAAACAATTTTGTTTCTTTTAAATTAAAAAATCGCACAAAATTATATGTTAATATCGTGAAGACTTCGACTAGATTTTAGTAGAAATCCGCGACGCGATTCAGGTTGAGCTTCGTCACAGCCGGTTCTGATATATCTCACAGGATCGATGGCGATATAATAGAGATCTCGTGTCGCGATTTTATTATTAATTTCGCCACTGTATTTCGGCCGAGCATTCAGAACCGAACAGGCATCGCGAGCGACCGTGGCGTTTTCACAGAAAACGCGAGGATAAAATTTCAAACTACGCGTGCAGATTTATCGAGAGGGCAAGCGCAACCTTTTTCAGTTCGTCGAATGAAACGCAAAACTTCGACGCTTTCAACCTCTTTCCTCCTCTTCCCCTCCTTCTTTTTCCGCCGTGTGTTCCACGGCATTGCGAAAATTCCGATGAAATTGTAGATAGAGGACGCGGATGGGAAACAGTGGCGACAAGGATTCTTGCGCTGTCCCCTGTGTCGCAGTTTTTGTTTCGCCCTGGATTCCCTTTTGAAGTGAATGGACCCGTGAATAATGAACCGCTTCAACCCCGATAGATCCTATCGGAAAAATTGGAAAATACCTGACACAAAGCACGGTCGTTAAATGTTCATGTGTTTTTTGTTTTGTTTTTTATTTTGTTCTCGTATTTTTCTCTTTTGTTGTTGTTGTTTTGTTTTCTCCCCGAACCCCTTCCGTTTAAGTGAAATAGTTCGATATAATTTTCACCCCTGTTTATCAGGTATCTGATTCGACACCTAACCAACTCCACGCTCCTCTGTTTCGTCGAGTTGAAATTTAACGCTTTCGACATTGGCTACAATTGTAAAAATGCCGAATACGATAATAAAATTATTGTTGTGCGTGAATTACTGCGTTTTGAAAGTGGCAAAAGTCAACTTTTATCGTTTCCTTTTTCTTCTCGAACATTATCAACGATAACACAAATAATAACTCTCTTTTTTGTCAATTTCGAGAAAACCATCGATTTTATCTTCATACAGTTCGAAGGAAATAACGGCGGCGAAAACACGGCCAGAAAAGGGAAGACGGGAGACAGGAAGACGATAAATATACAGTAGAATGAACTACTAGGGAATCGCGTTGTTGGTATTCCCAGCCGAACGCGTATTTTATTACGTGAAATCGGGACACGTGTCAGAGATCGCAATTTCGATGGCCCCGAAAAATCTGCACGCGTTTTCCTTCCTATAATCCGTTTCCTGGGGCGTCCCGCGAAGCAGTTTTTGGCAAGAACGAGAGCACGAAGGGATTTAATGAACGTGACTGGATCTTATCGGCGGGGAAAACGAAACTCTGCAACAGCAGAAATCTCATTGAAACGCTTGGCACACTCTTCGACTACATAAACACGATCAATTTGGATGGAAAACATGATTCTTATTACTGCTTCTTATTCTATTCTCTCGTACCTTCTCGGACTCGGAGAAATCTACGTTTTCTTGTTCGAGTTTTCGTAACGGGCGTATCAGCCGGGCGAAAAACATAGACGTTATTCGGCGAAAAGCCTGGCTGTGAATAACAACGACGCGGAAAATTATTGGTTAACACCTCCGTGATTTTCCATTGAAAATATCGTTGCGACGTGAAATATTCAACAGTTACGGGCAGAATTTCAATTTTACTTCAATGTTTCATTACCTCTGCTATGTTTGATGACAGGTCTTGCATCATGCTTTTGTTAAAAAGAATGAAACGAGGCTACATTCTCCGTGTTTAAAACTAGCGATGGGTAACTTCGGTAAATGGGAAATGGACTTACAGATGGACCTTCCGAATTATCTTCAGTAACGAATACTTTGCTGAATTCTCGTGAAAATAATAGGGAATTCTAATTTATACTATTTATAAACGAAATAATAGGGAATTCTAATTTATACTATTTATAAACGAAAAAGCCTACGAATTAAAAAAGATGACAGATAAGAAAAATAAAAAATATTATATGCCGATATTTTCATTATAAAATTGGTTCATTTTTCAAGCAATATGGTCTTTCTGAAGGTTCAAAATAAATGAATTGGAATTTTGTAAAAATTGGAAAACTTAATGCGATAAGGCAAGAAGATATAAATGAGAAAATTCATCAATTCCTACTCTTTATATCTGGTACAACGACCAAATACTATTGCTCATCATCTTCGAAATTACTGTCCTTCAATTTGGTAAATTCAACCCCTTCGGTTGAACGATACTATTGGTAAATGAATTCGATGGACATGATTTTTCATCGTTACGGTGCCACGAGTCGGCGAGCTTATCGGCTGGTTGGATTTGTTGCAGAGGCACCCCGTGGGACGTACCTGCTGATAGATGATCGTCGATTGGACCCGGGCAACCAGTTCGTCCCTGTGAAGGAGGGCTCCGAATTGACGTTGGAGTGCGCCGCCGAGGGTGGAAACCCGCCGCCTGATTTAGCATGGGGGATGACTCTGTCTCAGGCCACTTTGGATGGTCCGGAACAACCGCCGGACAATCTGACCGTGTTGCCTTCCATGTCTGGCAGACGAAGTAGAGCTCACCTTAAAGTCTTGAGGGGACACCATAACGCAACCATTGCCTGCGTCGCTCGTCACGTCACCCTCACCATACCCATGAACGCCAGTATTCTGCTCGACGTCCAATGTGAGTAATGTTACAATTTTCTTCCTCTTCGCTTGCCCCTTCTTTGCCTCGTGTCTGAGTTAGTTATACCGAGTAAGGTTAAGGTTAAGGTTAAGATGTTGCCTGAGAGTGAAGTTGCGTCAGATGTGCGAACAGAGTGAGATAGGAAGGTTTGAGGAGAAGGTTCTCGCGTTTGAAGTTTAGTTCCAAGGAGGGTTTAGAATATCGATCAAAATGATTTTTGTTGTCTGATTTTAAAGAGAGCTCTTACAAATCCAAGCTACAACGTTACACCATGTTTTAAAATTTATATATTACGACGTTACATACACGACGTAATTATTCAAAAGAACGAGAATATTTTAAAGTGTAAAAAAGTTGCATTTTTTTTTTTTTTGTTTTTTAGAGTGAAATTCATAATCTTATTACACTCTTAAGGTGATAATTAAAATTAAAGAACGAGGTGCCTGAATCTTTCTTTTCTTGTACACAAAAGCAAGCTCGTTGCGCCCGTTTGACAAACACCGTCTCATTCTCTATCGCACAATACGCCGCTTTGAGTTTATGAATGCAGCACCGTTCTATTCGTACCCGGCGCGTTATAAATGAGTTTCTCGTAAAATTTCAGCGACAAATGAAACGGTCGAAGAAAGACCGTAAGATTTCATTGACAGCATGAACACGACGAACACACACAGCGTGATATCTCGTTTCAAACCGTCTTTATACAGCTCCGGAATTATCGTCGCTGTCTCATCTGGAACTCATCATCTTAGTCTGGCCTGAAACTATAATTTCGAGCGTTTCGTCGTAAGCTGTCTCGTCATTCGCTCGTCTCGTCTGTTCTTCGACCTTTCCACTTTTTCCCCAGAAACTCTCAACGCCTCCCTCCCCCCTCAATCCCCGATCGTGACCTGCACCTTCAACGCCGTAAAACTTCAACTCTACCAGCTTCGAGGTAGGAGAGTTTTCTGATGCTTTGTGAAATAATAGAAAATCTTCCGTCTTTCGTGAACGATAAAAAGAATGTTTCTCCGTCTCCAAGTAATAGCTTGACAGAGGAAATCCGCGGGACAACTTTGTGTTTTCAAACGGAATGCGAGTATTTCTTCTTCGTTCTCAAATTCGACGAATTAGTAAGTCACGAATCCAGCTAGCTATCGAGACAGAAAGAATGTTTCTCTCTGTCGATTTTGCATTTTTAAACGTCTGTCCTTTCTTTTTCGCTTGACTATTTCTTTCACTTCCAATTGCGAATATAAAACTGCCAAAGTACAGTTATATTACACAAGATATCCGTTTCACGATATCTTTATGTATCAAGGAAAGATCAATGTTGTTATTTAGTATATTACACACGGCCCCGTAATTTGAATATCTAAGTAATTCGTATTCCGCTTCTGTAGGAAGTTGTATCCCATTTCTGTGACAGCAACAACTTCAGAATAACACGAGTTTAGCACGCCAAGCAATTAGAATTTATTACGCTAACATATAGCGTTGTAATGACCAATCTGTCACAAGAATTCATCTAGCTACCCAAACAAAACTTTTGTATACTGTATATTATGACTCATACACACAAAAGAAAGAAATATATCAACTTTTATGATGATCTACGACTCGTCTACAATACTACATACATATTGCACCTATATGTCTAACTAGAATTAAAACTTCCAAACATGTCAACCACTGCACGTCACAATTCATATACAAAACAGAAGAAAGAAAAAAATCAACGATGTCCTACGATTTCATCTACAACACTATGTATAATCCTACGTATATCTAACTAGAAACTTTTCGAACACGTCACACATTGTGAATCATAATTCAGACATGAGAAAAAAAAGAAAAAGAAAAAATCAATTTTTACAATACTACGTACATGTTATTCCTATTTCAACTAAACATGTCACATCGTACGTCACCATAATTCACACATAAAAAGCCAAAGAGGAGAAAAAATGAACAGTCCAAGAAGAAGAAGAAGAAAGAAAAAAGACAAGTTCCACGATGATATTCAACTAGGTCGTAGCTTCAGTCTATCTGGAACGCAGTCCTCGACACAACGTACAGCCGTGTAATTAGGTCACCAATCCCATTCTATATTTTCGCTATCACGGTCTAATCCCCGATGTCTCGTCTCGAACGAAACGAATCCTATTTATCCCCCCGGTTTGCCCCTTCTCGTTCGGCATACATCGAGTCGTTACGAACGGTGTAACAAAGAGGAAACAGAGAACATTGAGAGAGAGAGAGAGAGAGACAGAGAGAAGGAGAGAATGAAAGAAAAGTTACGAGCGTATTATTTAGTTGATGCCGCGTTGAAATTGCCAGTGGCCACGGTCGAGATCTAATTTCCGTAGACTTCGTAGCCAGCACAATTCCCGTTGAAATATTACGCAGAAGAAGTCGCGATACGAGGCGAAAAAAGCAACCCCGGCCGGTCGCCGGGCGCGTTTTAAAAATGGGCTTAATTCAAGTCGAGCGGCTGCGAAGTGTTATAATTCCGCGGATCGTTTTTCCGTCTGGTCTGCTCTCTGTTTGATGGAAAAGGGGTGGATAGAAACGTGCTGGCCAGTGGGATTTCCGTGGTACTAGGATTGGGACAAATATTGCTATTCGAACGACCATGACGCCACGCGTAAAAAAGCAGTAATTTGATTGTGTTACGTTTTTTTCACCGTTAGGTCGTTTCACCGTTGTGACGTTGTTTCATGGGGGAGAAATTTAGGAGAAAAATTGTAATTTAATCGCAAATAAGTTAGAAGTAGCGACGTCTCGAGTATCCTGGAAAACGAAACGTAACGAATTCTGATTGATTCGGACACAGATTTCGTTTGCTTTTTATCTATCTCTTATTTCACCATATCTAGCTATCATATCGGAATAATGGCGATAGCATCATGATATGTCACAAATAAAAGACTTCGGATAAAATCCATTTCGAATTCATTCAAAAATACGTGAAATTGCCTAGAAAGTGGACTAGAGAATTATTTAAATGCATTGATTAGAAATTTGATCCGGAAGCCGTCAGAAAAAGGACGAAACCCACAAATTTAATGTAAAATAATTAATTAAATTACGGTGATTCTATCCCCGAAAGATTACTAACAAATGATTTCGTGTGTCACATATATACAACAATTTAATTAATATATACAACGATTTATTATCAATATACAACATATTTAATAAATGACCGATCAGTTGTAAATTCAAAATAATAAAGGCAGAACGGTTGTAAATACAAAATAATAAATGTAAAGAAGAAAATTTATAAATTCATAAATAAATTTACAAACAAAAAATTACGAATGAGCGAATCACCTCAGATTTGACATTTTTAAATCTATTATCCCAAACGATATTGCACAAGCGAAAATCCAATTATCATTCAATTAGAAATACTCGACGCTAATTGGAAACTGAAGTGAATATCGAATCAGATCATTTACACCCGGAAATGAGAGAAGAAGAAGCTTAATCAATTAAAATGTATCGTGGGAGTATGCAATTATGGACAAAACTAAACTCTCTCGTGGGAGTCAATCGAAATAGTATATCGGAAACTATGCAATTATGAGTGAATAATTCAGCAAACAGAGACAAGAAACAGAGAAAACAATGAACGAAAAGAAAAGAAAATATTAAAAATTGTTGATGATGTATATTTGCTATTTTTAGTGGTTACTAATCTTCTGGTAATTTACTAGAAATTTTTCGACTGGCCGGAAATTCGTTGCTCCGGCCGTTCATTGTTCGAGAAAATTTTCCCATGACACTGAAAGCTGTACGAGGATTTACTGCAATCAAATTAGAGTCGTTGATGCAACTGGCGGAGAGAACTAATTTCTTCGAGACGTTTCTACCGCAGTAGAAAAGAGATTTCGCGTTCGTATCTCATTCTGAGAAATGAAATAGCAAGGGACAACAGAGCCAAAGAAGAGATCACGATAACGTTCGATGTGACATAGTTTGTTTCAGCTTCTTGTACGTACCTTTTTCGAGCGAGATCCCTGTTACTTCAAGTTTTCGAAAATGGTCGTGTGTAAGGTCTTTCGTTGTTGCACGTAAAATTACGTGAGTCCTTTAGGGAAATTGAATTTCGGAGATTCACTGTCACCGAAATTTCGCGACGACGCTGGTCGAATTTTCCCTTGAATTTTTCAATGAAATTCTTAAACCACAACACGGTAATACGAACTCGACATTGTCGAAGAGGAATTATAGATGAGGTGCAGAATAGACAGACCATATTGAAAGCTCTACAACGTTCTTAGCACTTCAGTATTATCACCAATATTAAATTTTCTTCATGACTTTGAATTAAATCTTAAACTGATTTTGTAACTCTGTGTGATATTTCGTACTTGTATCAATGTTCTACATTTTCACGAAAATAATTGATAATTAAAAGAGAAGTTGTTCTATCTATCTTTAAAGACTATCTTCCATTCATATAATGTATTTGGTTTACATAAATATTAACATACTTAGCTATTTCCTATTAACATCCTACTAATCAATAAATTTAATTGAATTTTAGCTATCACTAAAACTTAACTTAAAAATTGTTTATAATTTAATATACTTAGCAAAAATCTAAAATTTTCCATGAGTCTTGCTTACTACACCTAACAGAGAAAAATAAATAAATAAAAATTTTGTAATTACATCCTTGCAATTCAATAACTAAATTCAATAACTAAGGTATACCGTTGCAATCTTGAAAAATGTAGGATATTATTTTATAGACATTACTTAAAGAACTGCAATTATTTATCAACGCAATCCTAACTAAAATGGTAATTAATATTAAAAGGATCATATAATATCTCGAACTCGTTCCCTGTCTCGCGACCACGACCGCGATAATAAATTTAAGAAATCGATAAGCAAAGGCAGAGACTCGTGCCAGCTTCACCGCCGATTCCTCAAATTATGATTCCAAAAACAGATTGGTCACGCGGAAACATGCCTATCCGATCAGAAACTGTGCCAACCAACTCTAACTACATGATTCACATTCACACTAAAAAGTACACTATCCACCTATCTAATTTTATATTTAAAAAGTAGCAATCAAAACAGAACATCAACACACTCACTTTATAATTCTTAAATATGACACTCGAGGGCAAGGATCTACACTTCTAATTTATTCTTATTTTCATTCTAATTTACATATCATTTTTCTGAAATCGACCGACAAAGGTTAGCATTACATAATGCGCGATTAAAATAATTAATCTTAATTATGAATACTCAGAAATGATTGGTCTTTTAAAGAAATAACTTTATAGACAGACAGTAATAAATTGAAGACCAATCTTGAAATTTAAGATTAATAATATTTAATAAAAATTTAGTTATTATTTGTGAAGTGTTTTAATATTATAAATCATAGTGAATGGAACAAGGATGCAATTCTACAATCTAATCACATATATTTCATGGAAAATACGTGCACGATACTAAGGCAACGTCAGTCGCTGAAAAATTATATTAAATTTATAAATTATAATCATCTTACCCGAGAAAAATTTAGGCGAGATTCTGATGATAAACGCAGAAGGGGTTAAACCTAAAAATCCTGAGCTAAAAAACGTGATTAGTGTATTTGTTTTGTACCTAACGGACTAATACTTTCTTTAACTTAAGATTTTCTCATTTCATCTCTCATTTATTTTCACTTTAATGGATTAAATTATTGAAATCCTGATATTGAAAAATATATGGAGAACGATTAAAATATATTTATTTATTTCAAGAGAAGCTAAAATCCGATAAGTGAAATATTAATGAAAAGAACCTCAGGCGATTCCTCTATCAAAGCACAAAGACAGTGTACAAACTTGTTGCTCTGATTCTAAAATCTACCTATCGCTGGTTTTTTTTGCACGTGAAATTTAATATCGTACATGTTCGAGTAGAAAGAATTAAACTTCACGATTTCCTCCGTATCGAGTTACTTTGTTATATTAAAATGAAGTTTGTGGCATGAAAAACAAAGTAATTAAATTATCCAGAATATTACCGTGAGACGGGAAATGAAATGAAAAATGAATATTAATACAACGGTAATTTACATTATTACGATAATAATTTCAATTTTCGTTGCAACCAAGTAATATTGTCAATGTCTACACTATAGATCTCTCAATTGAAGTCATTTTAATATTTATTATTTATACGAGTGCCTATTCACATTTTATTGACGTTTGACTTTTGCAAATATCCATATTGAACGTGTTCCGCCTTTACAAGTAACCAAACTAATTTTCAATATTGATCGTTCATATCAATTATAGCAATTAATATTGTATTAATATCATTATTAACGTCACATTATTATTGAAAACGCAAAAAGACTTGGCGTACAAATTAATAAATTAATGTATAAAACACAGAAACAGAAAAATATTACTACTCTCTGATATAATAATACTACGTGATATGTGACGTCAATGTAGATATTTGACTATGTCACTGATATAATAAATACCCCCAGTCATTATACTTGACAAAAATTCTGCATAATATAATTGGTCACTCTTGTTGATTCGAATTTTTAATTCGAAGAAATGATTGAATAACCAAAGAAATAAAAGTATATGCAACTCACGGTTAGAAGAATTTTGTTGTTGATACTGTAGCAAACAAGATAAAAATGATGGTCACGAAAGATCACCACTGGAGATCATGGAAATTAAAAAAAATGTACAACATTATAATTCGTTCTTAAAGACTATTTTTTATTTTAATATTATTTAATATATTATTTTTATTATTTAAAAAGTCTGACAATAAAAATTTATTTTTCTGTTAAATATAGAATTTTAATAATAAATAGATAATAACGAAGATTTAAATTCTAATGATGCTAAAAATTGGAATTTTAGTATGAAAGTTTGAAATGTAAGATTTGAAAAACTAATATCAAAAATTTTGGATTCTCCTATAATTAAAAATATATTGATATTGATATTGATATTTTATTTCTTAATGAATAATAATTTAAACGAAATATAAGAAATAAAATAAAGATACTTACACTATTGGTTTCCTGGAGAGGCTGGATCCTCTTGATAGAAACACTGACTCTAATACCGAAATGAATATTTAAAAATAGATGTGCACATTAAAAGAAAAAGAAGGAGAATAAACTCAAAAAACTATGAAAAGAAAAAGGAAAAAAAAAATCAACGAACAAACACTGACTCTAATTTCCGCGTATAACTACTCTAACTAGATTTAATCAAAACTATTGTACTTTGAAAAATATTGGAAATACTATTACGCAGCAAACACTGATTCTATCAATCACACTGTGCACGTTCACAAACACCCTGAAAGCAAAAGCAAGGTGCATTAATATAGAGATATTGGAGTTGCAAAAAAAAAAAAAATAAAATGTTTTGTTTTCCCTCTTTTTTTCAAACGAAAGTTAAAAATAATTGTTTTATTTATTCATCATCAATTAACCATTATTCATTTTTTGATAAATGTAGAAAAATTCTGTAGTACCTTCAATACTATAAAATATTCGAGAAATATTCTTGCAATAGATCAAAATTTCTTATTTAAACGTGATAATATTTAATACGACACAGTAAAATGCAAAATTTGCTTTATTTTACCGTTTAATATACCGTTATGTTAATATTCTTAATAAACTACAGAATTATTTATAACTTGTTCGTGTCACGTATTAATGATGTATGAATGTGTAATTAATTGCTAAATACGTAATTATAATTGATGGTTCGATAAAAGAACAGTATAAATGTATACATACATCAAATTCGTCAATTTCAGGATATCTGCATTCAATCTTCGCTGAATTTCTCATTAGTTTTCGTGGCATCTTGTTCTTTCGAAATCATTTTTCTAACAAATTACTGATCTATACCGAAAAAAATCAAAAGTTCCAAATGAATATAAAAAAAATGTGTTAATTATCATCAATTACATTGAAATAAAGCAATAATCTTACTCGAATTGTGTCCAAGAACGTGACAGTAGCACGAACAATCGATGATTTTAACCCCCAAATAGAAGAGACTGGAAAAATTACTAGAAATATTACTTAATTCTGCTAAATAACGTCCAATAAATTACTATATAAACGTGTATCAATAAAACAAACCTAATAGTAATGCAAAAACGGCGACAGAAATTCTATGCAGCAGAAATTACGTCGTGAAATGTTAAGACACATGCCACGATCCTCAATCGTAAAATAATAGCTGGCATACCCTAAACGACTTCTAATTGGCTGACACGCGAGACAATTTTTCTACCAATCAGAGTTGCGCGCGCGAAACTGAAACGTAGAAATGTTCGAAAATTCTGTAGAAATTCTCGATGTTTTGCGAAAAATGAATGTACGTGATCAAACAAGTGTTTCCTGCGCAATTCAATTGTTTCAATAAATATTTTCACGCTGAGCGTTTTGAACGCGGTGTTGAAAAAAATTATCGTATATTGATTTAACTGGAACAAATAATATTGTTTAACTTGTTGAAATAATAAATAAAAGTTACGTGTTCTTTAGTTGGATTATATTTACTTAGTTATAGTTCTATAAATATTTATAAGCGATACATGAACGTCGATCACTATATAGGGATGTTATAGAACAGAAACACTTTATATAAATTTGATTACGTATAATAGTCAAGGTGAATAAATGATTTGTAATCTTTAAACTTACTGCTCCGAATTATAGAGCAAGTACTACAGGATTCAGTACGCAAAATTTCACAGTTTATCCTGTAGCTCGTCGGCGACGGAATTAATTTATACTTTCCCTACACCGCAAATTTATTGCCAAATCTTATCAATTCTTTTACATTTTTATGGTCATTCCCTTTCGTTCCTCCCCGTTAATCGTGGCACGAATTTTTTTCGCAAATTATACACTCACCGTGACCTATTCCGTTATTTCTGGTTCCCACGAAGTTACCTCTTACCTCGGAATCCAGTGGCCGCAACGAGAATGTGTCCCATTGTGTCTCGACGTCACTTCGTTCCCCTTAATTCTTCCGCGCTTGTTCTCTTGGCGGATGGAGGAAGGAAACTGCGGTCAGTTACGAGTTCGTGAAACGGAAGTTGGATCGTGGTCGTTCGATTCTTCCCGGAACTAGAAGAGAAAATAAAAAGAAATGGGAACAGAAAAGGCGATCGTTAATATCGAAATCAGCAGTGAAGAATAGCGGTCGTTCCCGTTTCTTTAAATTTCTAAATTTGTCAATCAATCTCTTTTTTTTCCCCCGAGACGTCCAAAGATGTCAAAGTAATGTTCGTAAAACGTCGATATTCCGATGAAATTTAATACTTGAGCAAAAATATCTATTCCGACGCGACTGAATTTACTTGCTCGAGTTCGATCGTCGTAAAGTTCGTACGATTTCCAGGAAAGACACACACGGAGAGGGAACAATTATCAGCCCGATGTTGGATGACTCCAAAAGTTTCGATTTGGAGAATTACGGTCGGCAAGACGGGAAGTTTCGCGAGGATCCGTTACGAGCGACAGTCGAGTAGAATCCTCTTGTATCCACTGAAGAATTGTTCGAGGAACTTCAATCAGTCTGTTCCTGTAGTTCAACACTCTTTGAAAAACAGTGGAGAAGTTTCCAAATACGGAAAATAAGGATGGCCGGAAACTCCTCGGCGGTTCATCTTCGGTGCATGTTTCGGTTCTCGTTTCTCGTTCAGAGAGTATTTCGTCCAAACATTGTTCACAAATATTTCAAGTTCGTACCCACCGAAGTAAAGAAATGAAGTAAAGAATTTGTTAAGTATTCAAGTGTGTTATGTAAAAGAACACGGAGTAATTAAACGTTGGAAAATCTTGAAAGGAATGATTAGTCTACAGTCCGAAGTACTTCGAAGCTTAATTGGGATTTAGGGAATTTTGTAGAAAATTGGTGGATCAGCAGATTAACTTTTCCCTGGTGGAGATAGTTCAGCGTGGATCTACGTCGTTTACTTAACTAAAACATGGGAATCCATCGCCATTAGGCTCCATCATCTCTGCGAATGTTACCTTTGATGATCTTGAAGTATAATGCAATTGTCCTTAAACCAGAAAAATCGTTAGAATGTTATCGCAGAAGGAACTGAATTATTCTCTCATATTCCTATTGTACGAAACTGATCAGATATAAAAGAATTGTTCTGTCATAGGAAAATTCAAAAGAGTGCAACCTGAAATATTGGTAATGACCTGGTAACGATAGAATAGCGTGCTAGCGCGAACGAGAAAATAGTGAAACAGGAAACGAGAAAATAGGAAACGTAGAAACGAGTGTTATTCGGTTAGGGATTTCTCTATAACTTCTTGTTTCTTCTCTTATCTCGTTTTCGAATATTCCACGCTTATTCTGTCTGCCATTACATTTCGAAATAAAACGAATCGATGCTGCTTTATTCCTCCCGATACGCTGTGCAATTCAACGTTTCAATATTCAACCAACCCATAAAATCACTCGTGATCCGAAGTGTAAAAGGAATACGAGGGAGGGAAATAAGGAACGATGATTCTCAGATAAGTTTCGTTTCCTCGAGCGTGACACATTCACATACGGTCGCGTCCCGAATTGTTTCCGGGCAATTGGGGGGAGGGAAAAAAATTCGGCGAGCATGGCAGCAGGTATTTTCCGAGCCAGGAGAAACGCTTGCAGCGTCAAAGATGATGCGGGCGCGTGCAGCGAAGCCGAAGCGCCGTGAAGATGCATATTTTCTAGGTGAACAGCTTCTCGCACACCTTCGAGATTCCGGAAGGAGATGCGGGTGTTTCCCGAGCGATTTCTTCCGATAGCGAAGCACCCGTTCCTACGGGTGGACTTGTCCTTTTCCTCCACGTTTTTCCACGAATTTATATTCGGATGGTACCTGCTGGTTTCCGGATGTCGCTGCAAGAGACGCGGGAAAGAAGCGGGGCAGGGAGGGAACAGAACGAGGGTCGGAGGGAACGGAAATGCCGTCGGAACGCTCGTCGACACTCGACCGGGCGAATTTTCCAACAGAACGAACGCCAAAGACATTTTACAAGGCATTCGATGCCTTTACGACGCACCTCGGCACATGTAACGTGACCCACTTTGTCCATTGTGTACGTATCTGCCACGCGTACCTATCCCCTACCCTTGTCTCATTCGCTGCTCGCATTATTCGATTCTCGATGTCAAATCGACAGATCATTTTTCCCGTGTTCTTCGATCATCGTTGATAATTAGTAACGTCTGCAAAATTTCAATTAATCAATTCAACTGCATATTTTCCCTTGTAAATCGTATATTAACCTAAAGGAGACATTTTCGTTTTTCATGAATAAGATTTTATAATGGAGAATGTTTCGAATGAAAAGAAATACGTAAATAGAAGCAAGTGCACGCGAGTTAACAGAAACGATTGTTACACATTTTATATTCGCTATAATGCTTTGTAATTCTAAATGATAAGGAATTGTAAAGTAACCAGGAGGGTTAAGATGATTATATTATAATGGTTTCTGGAATTATTTCCTTGTAAGGTTTATATAAAATGAGTTATTCGAAGCGAACGAACTTATTACTGGTAAGAAAGGTCGCTTGTAAAGTAATTCCTATAGAAAAGTATGGCTCGCTTTTCGAATACACGACGTAATGGAAATATGTCAGTCTTAAGATATCTTGAAACCGAAACATTCAAGAAAAACTCTGCATGCATCACAATATTTGTTTATCCCTTTGAAAGCGACAGAAGCTCGTGAACGAGTGCCTATAATAAAATGTTCGCATCAAAAATCAACATTCTGAGAATTGCTAATATCCCGCTGCGCTACATAATAACCACCTTCTTTTCCCCTTCTTTCAAAAGTAACCAGTTCCTTTCATCTTTCTCTGACGAGTGAATCGCGCGTTGTTCGTCTCACTTGATTGAATTAAAAGAACCATTGGCATCGAGTCGCAGTAAAAACTGTTTACCGAGGGAAGATCGTGCCTAAGTGAAATTTCGTGTCAAGTGAAACGAATCCGTCTGGTAACAAAAGGACAGGTGCAAAGAAGGATGGAGAGGAAAAAGAAAAAAATAGTCGGTTTTATTGTTCCCCTTTTGTCTGGTCGCTCGTTTAGGAGCGATTTCTCAAAGGAATGAATGGAAGTATTGTACCTCACGATCCCTCCAACCCCTTTCGACGGGCTTTGTGTAAATTGGTATCGAGATATTCCTTTTGGTAGCAGATAATAACATTCTTAGTTATCCATACCGCTCGAAATGTCGGCATACTAATTGCCACTTGAGGTGCCCCTTTGTACGTGCACCGCAACGAGATACACAGGAAAAAAATCTCTTTTGAAATAAATTCCAAGGCTTACCTGTATTAAACGTTTATTAAAGGAATGAATAGGGATCGATGGCGTCGGGCAGGGGAGAAGAAGGAAAGAGTCAACTGTTTCTCTTCGACTTTCTTACCTCGCCCGAGGAATGGTTTCCCGTGATTCACGCAGGGCTAGCTCGTTTAATTTGAGGGTTTCCAATTTTTCGCTAGAATTATTCCAATTTTTTTCACTGCCGCGGCTTGATACTCTCTCTTTTATTTAATTAGCCATCTACGCTGCCTCGGCGAGTAGGTTTCCAAGAACGTTTGCTTCCTTTTTTCTAGAGGATAACGAAAGAAAGAAAGAAAGAAAAAAGGGGGAAACTCTGTTCGAAGTATTACCGTGCTGGTACGCTATTCTTCAAATAGAAAAGGATGAAACGAAACCTCAACTTTGACGGAAAACAGAAGGGTTGCTTCTACAAGGAGAACTATTTTCCGTTATACTAATCGAAGATAAACTTCGACTACCCGAGTAGAAGAAAAAGAAAAAAAAAAAAACAAAAACAAAGAAAAGAGAATGACCCGCTGAATTCCTCTTCGAACCGGCGTCCTTCGTCTTGAGTTGAATTTATCGAGAAAAGTACAAGTCGCACGTAGCAGGCACAAGTTGCGACGACTTTCAGTCAGCCGCGAGAGATAAATTTCTGGAATTCACCACCATTGGTGTCGTGCTTGCACGCCGGAAACTATCT